GCTTAGGCAAAGTAGAACAAAATTGTGGAAAGCTGTATCTGAAGGTACTACAGTGTTGCCTAACCAAAATGTGTTGCCCGAGTAGACGCACCTGAAAAACGTTTTAAATTAAGGATTTTATCACTTACATATGTGGATGTTAATTTAGTAATAATTAAGTCACTTCCATGGAGCTGAGTATGGCTACAATATCGATTTTGAAATAAAATGTGTGCTGTTCTTTGTTGTCTACAAATTTTGTGATCGAGTTAAATGTACTAATGCCTTACTATGTTGGGTTAAATATTTTCAGTTCCAAGATTCCAGGATTTTTATTTATTTTATTTTATTTATTATCCCTCTGTTGTTCTGGGCCTTCAACAGAATTGCGCCCAATTACAGAGTGACTCGCATAATGCTTTTTAGAGGTGCTCTCGCAGAAGGTCTTAAGCTCTATACTACTGTATTTACCTTACGAATTAGGAAAACTGCAGGAAAACCTTATTCGGAGTAACTGGCAGAATGCTCGAAACTGGTCTAAGGTAATTCTCATCTCTGCCACAGATGAAAAGTCACCTCAACAGAGATTCGAACACCCGATCTGCGGATTTATAGCCCAACGCTCTACCATTAAATCACAACGTCGGTCTTAAAACTGAGTAGAGGCAATGGTGCATGCGTAGAACGCAAAAAATGCATCTGAATGGAAAAAAGTTATCAAAGTAGCTGATAAGTTCGTTCCAAGTAAATTTCAGGTGTCCTGGAATCCTGGAACTGAAAATATTTAACGTCAGCATACTATACGAACTATAGAAAGTCGTTTAGTATTTAAAAATAGCCATCGCTCTGAACGCATTCTAAATTTTCCAGTTTTTTTCACATTTTTTGACAGTGAAATGTACTTAAGTATAAATCTGAAATTTCAGATGTAAAAAATGTCCTCGAAAAAAAAATGCATTATTTTATAACGGTTAACTGGACGTTCCACTTTTTCGAGGATATCCCGGCTATCCCACTATGGAGGTCGTGGTACTCTTTTGAGCGTCATCTTGGGAGGTGTCCGGACATATTCAAAAAAAGTCCCGCATAGTACGAGTAGTAATTATAAATGTCCGGGTCAAAACCTAATTTCACTGTGGTCCTGACGGATCCCCACCAAATTCTACAGAACCTCCTGGATGACTCTATCTAACACCAATTCTCTGAATAGCTCTCGTAAGTGAGTGAATTTATTTAGACCATGTCACTAGGTTTACCTGCAGACAATGGCGGATTATGCACCAGGCTTAAAATATGCTATATATAGCTAAAGGTGCCAAAGGGCTGAGACCCTAGGTGATACTACATTATTGAAGACATAAGGATAACTTACTCTAAAGGCATTTATATATTTTGGTTCAGCCTGGCATTTGGCAGAACTGGTGGTATGAATATATAATTGTGGTAGATTATGGACAAAAATCCAAACATTATTTTAGTACCATTTCCGATTTGATCCGAAGTGACCGTACATTTATAAGGTTAAATGCTGCACCCTCTGCATTTTTTACATGTCTGCATTCTACAGACAATTTTATACCTTATTTGTTGTTTTAAAGTAAACTGAGTTAGCCAAAAAGTTATGTAAAGGATATTTTCTAATCTAAATGGCCAAGAACGATTTTATTTGCTCTACATTACCATAAAAGTCAATTTTACCTCATTTATTCAATTGCAAGTTAAGTTAATTCCTCCAAACAGAATGACAATGGCATTAAAACTATACACTGAATAACATAGGACCGCAATAAAACACTGAAACTGACCACGGAAATGGTACACTGAAATTATACACTGACACAGTACAGTGAACCTACCAGGAAACGAACACGGAAATTGTACCCTGAAACCATACACTGAAACCTTACACTTAAATCGTACACTGTAACCGTACACTTACACCATATAAGGAAACTGTACACTCAATCAGAACACGGAAACTGTACACTGATGGCATCGGAAATTGAGACTATGTACTGAAACCGTGCACTGATATAGTTCACTGAAACCGCATACTGAAATGCATACTGGTACACTGAAACCGTTCGCTGAAATCGTACGCTGGCACTATACATTGAAAGCATATACTGAAACCGTACACTCAAACTGTACACCGAAACCATACGCTATTAACTAATGACTTATACCGTACACTTACACCATATAAGGGAACCGTACACCCAAACTTTACACTGAAACTGAACTCGGAAATTGTACACTGAAATTAACCATATGCTAAAACCGCACACTCAAACTGTACACTGAAACCATGTACTGAAACCGTACATTCAAACTGTACACTTACACTGTACAGTGTACACTGAAACCGTTCACTAACACCGCGCACTGGAACCATATACACCGAAACTGTAGACTGAAACAGTACACTGACATCGTACACTGAAGCCGTACCCTCCAAGCTGAACCCTGAATCTCTACACTGAAACCGTTCACCGAAACCGTACGCCGAAGTCGTACACTGACACAGTGAACTGAAACCATATACAGAAACTGTACACTGCAATAAAGTTACACATTAAAATTGTGTAGGTTACGCCACATCCGTGATAAAAGCAGAAAAATTCCGAAAGTACCCGAATTGGCAAAGGTGTGCTGTAACGGTAGCTGTAAATTTGCATTCAAATTTTTTCGAAATTTCGTTTTGAAGTTAGAAATTTTAGAACATCTAAGAGTAGAACAATTTGGGCATCGCATATCGTAATAATTTCACAATATCAAAATGTAACGGATTCAAATAAATGATATTGAATGAGAAGACCGATTATTCTACTAAATAAAATTGACCGTGCAGTAGGCCTACTGGGGAAACCACGTTAAAAAACGCGTCAACTACACTAGCTCACAGGTGGCGTAGAAACGGGTGCATAATAGAACCACTAGTAAATTTAGGAATCACTTTTTCCCAGAAGTACTGAAGCTTAGGAGAGAAAGTGTAAGGGCTTTTTTGTATATAACTGCATGATCTACAATGTTTGTCGAAGCTATTTTTATCATAAAGCACGGGATCGATGGGGACTTTTCACAATTTCATTATAGTGGTATCCCTAACGTTCATGTGAATTTAACCCCTATTTTTCATGCTAACTTCAGCTATCTTAATTAGGGATATTTAGTTACAAATGCACATTTGGCATGATGTTATACCGTGAGATTTGCTTAACATGTCTCAGGAAGGCAACGCATTAACGATTGAAAATGTCCGTTTGCATTAAATCGCAATTTTGCGTTTTTCGACAAGTGCATGAAATGAATTTCAGTAAGGGCGAGTGTTGGTGCCACTATCACACAGAGTGGAAACCTTATTGCTTCTAGCCCCAAGGTTCGTATTTTTTTTCGATTCCATAAATTTTTGGTATCTCATAAACGCATGATACTGTAGCACTGCGTCTTTCGTTGGTGGCAAAGAAACAAGATGCCTTCTATTCAGTGAACGAGTTTCTTCAATCCCAGTCCGTTGATCTGTGATATTCAGGCTTAATATATTTTAATTTGTTTTGTTTGTCTCTCTGTGTAATTGTAGTTTGTTGTTTTTTTTTGACGAACCTTATATTATAGTTCTTTGATAATAAAGTATTGATTGATTGATTGATTGATATGGAATTTTCGTCAATTGTGAGATGTCTGATTTCAAAATTTCAAACGACAAATACCATTGGTGTATCTACAGATGCGGTTGGAGATACATTGACCTTTAAATACAATGCTGTTACTTTACAACAGTTACACAATTGTTATATTAGCAACTTTTAATCAATGTTAGTCTGTAGGTATATGTAGGAAATAGTGCTTGTTTCACTTTAAATGTTGTTCTTATTTTGATTTGTTTAAGATTGGTCAGATGTGAATGTTCCTGCAAGTTTGATTAGCAACTTCAATTCTTTGTGTGAATGTGCCTTTCTTTAAATGTCGCTAACTGTTTCGTCTAAGGTCTGCAGTGTAAGGTTACCGCATTCAGGACCTTCAGATACCTTCTGGACTGGAGAAGGTCCCGCTAATTAACAAAGTAGTTCATGTACCTACTTTATGTAAGACTGCGGTATGCTAGGTTTCGCCAATGGGAAAGGAGTTGAGTTGCTTTTAAATCTATTGGAGCTGGCTGCTTTTGAGCAAATCTAATTTCGTATTAAATTAATGTCAGATTTAAATTATTAAACTTCAAGAGTTACTTCATCGGATTGTTAATTTTTGTATACCTATGGTAGATATTGCTCCAGACTTGTCACGTATATTAACAATGATTCGGAATTTTCATCGGCTGGGTTCTATTGTCCGTTAAGTACTAGGGGTATACACGGTTTTACATGCATTCTGTCTAAATTTGTAGGAACTTTTTTGGCTCTTTGATTCATTTTACAGTGTTGTTCAATTATTCAATAAACTTTCATTTACATTTCCAATTCACTGTTAATTACGTCCCACCTTTCCGATAGCCCCTTTTAAGTGGGAGCCCGTTCTAATTGCGTACCTTTGAGACATTGTAGATACGCCACTGGACACAAGTAAAAATCGCCGCCAAGCAACCTGTTTCATTTTTCATTTTTATGTGAGGAGTTTTGTCTCATTAACTGTCGTTTGAACCCATCCTTTTGTAAAATCAACCACTGCGAAGTTATTTTGAAGAAACTGATCTTCTGTACCTTTTATCCAAAATGGCAGCAGGGGCGGTCTCTTTCTCCAAAAGGTCGAAAACATGATTTTTTGTGAAGGTCCAGACCTCAACAACATATTAAAAAATTACTACTACACAACCTTTTGAAGGGCAGTCCATTTATTTACAGTATACAGGCGGATGCAAATTCGAGGGCCACCATGGGGATCTCGGAAACTGTAAGAGATAGGTAGTCTAATTTTGGCAAAGTTGCGTATTTTGATGCTTAACAAAATGCCGTTTTGAAACTGAAATAATTCCGACCTTGGTCAAAATTTGGCGCAAAAAACTGAGTAACACTTGACAATAACAGCTGGTCACCATGGAAAATGAAACAAATGGGGAAAGGTATGTCAATTTTGCGTTTTTGTTAATTTAATAGGCAATTGTAAGTAAATAAATAAAGTTCTAAACTTATTCTAACAGACTAAAGTAATTCGCCTTAAAATCAAACCAGAATCACTGTGGCAATATGACATTAGAAATCTTGATAATTGTCGCGGCGGTAATGTTTATGGCATCGTATTGGGTGTGCGCTGGGCAACGTAACAAGTTAATTCAAATTGAGTACTCCTACACTGGGTCAAAGGGTAAGTCGCCTCTTCGCCGAGCCTTCCAGTTTTATAGCTCTTTCGCGTTCAGGACCCGCGCATTGGAGAGAACTATTCCCAAACAGTGCAGGGCCATGTCAGTCTCCTATTAATATTGTGCTTGATGATGCTATCGCTATGCACGTAGGAGGTGCCGACGGAGAGTTGAGGTTCTCGGAGGAATATTCTCGTACTCCCAAACAGATGTGTATTCATAACGATGGAAATTCAGGTAAGTGCAAAACCAATTGGCGGTGGCGCCGTCGTCGTCTGACATTTTTAATGGGGAGTACTCATCACGACTCTTTAATAATTGATTGTGTTTTATTGTAGTGACACTATATGTCGATTTTGGAAATGATCCGAGGCCGGCCGTTATGCGTGGCCCGCGCGGCGAAAAATTTGAGTTTGCCAATGCCAGCTTCCGATGGGGACCTAACGACCAAGAAGGCTCCGAGCACACAATAAACTATCAAAACTACGCGATGGAACTTCAAGCTATTTACATTAAGGGTAGTAGAAGATACTGTAACTGTAGCCAAGCCGCGGAAGACAACGCCATGTTGATTATTAGTTACTTATTCCAGGTTAGAACATAACCTGCATACGTGAATGATGTTATTTATTCGTTTTGCCTCAGGTCTCGCAAACGGAAAATCACTACCTGACACCGTTAATACTATCTCTACCAAGAATTGCTGCAATACAACGCACTACCCCAGTCTGTCCAATACCACTGTTTTTCATCATGCCTCCGTTCGTGTCCAAATACGTTAGTTATTGTGGCTCGTTGACCTTTCCACCTTGCACCGAAGGTGTATATTGGATAGTGCAAACAGACCCGTTAGCAATCTCATCGGCCCAAGTAACGATTTAATTCCAAATGCATTGGGATGTGCTTACTAGATTGCTTTTAGGTAGACCAGTTTCGTAAGCTACGCTCATCAAGTGGACTTCTAGAAAATAATAGGAGACCACTACAAGACGGGAATGGCAGAGAAATTACATTTTATATTTAAGAAAGTGTTCGTTAACGAGTAAATATAAGAAATAGTAGATTCTCAATCCTTACTCAACGTCCAACTCATCCGGCCCGTTTCCATTTCTACAAAATTTGCTGTTGCTATAGCACAGATACCACCCGCACGCTTGCGCATGCGATATTCTGCACTTTTATACCCGGAAAGCGTTATAAAAATGAAAAACTTTTGTTTATTCTTCTAAATATATTTCATCGCCTTTAGAGCACTGCCCCTCCCATGCAAGCACTTACGCCAGAGTTTTTTTTCAGTCCTCGAAGCATGCCAAATAGTTTTCCGGAATGGCCTTCAACACCTTCTTCTATTCGACTTTTATCTCCTCAATTGACTCAAAACGATGTCCCCGGGGCGGTCTTTTGAGCTTAGCAAATAGGCAGAAGTCGCACAGGGCTAAATCAGGCGAATACGGTGGTTGTGGAACGATATATTTCGCATTTTTGGTGAAAAACTCGACGCTTTTTTTCAACAAAAAAAACAGTGTTTTCGGTACCAATCCAGACTTGACGCATCTGAGACCCAAAACATCTTTCAAAATTTAATTTAGTGATCCTTTTGATATACCAATATCATCAGCATGGTCTTTATTGTTAATCGACGGTTTGCAAGTACCAATTCTTTGATTTTATTGACGTGTTGCTCATCAGTTGATGAGGATGGTCGCCCGGGACGCTCTTCGCTCAACGCGTTGTCTGCCTTAATTAAACATTTTGTACCAATAAAATGTTGTTATTTTTGATACCCGTAACCTTTCTGCAACATTCCCAACGTTTCCGCAGCGGTCATTCCATTCAGAAAATAAAATTTAATTGTTGAATAATTTCAGACATTGTAAAATCGAAAAAATCACTTTCCGTGTAATACAAAACTAAGCGTAACTCAAATACTAATGACATTTATGACTTGAGATTTGACACGGGTGTCTGGAACAGTGCTGCCAACAAAAGAAAAAAATATTTCTGCGAACGTATTTACCGAGTAGTTTAAATAAAAAGAGTTCGGGTACTTTTTGGACACAGTATTATGTCTAAGAATATGTGTACCAAATTTGGTTCCAATCGGTTCAGCCGTTTAGCAGGAAATGAGAGTACAGACGGACCAACAGACCGACTTAATCGAGATTTTGTTTGATTCGGATTTCTAGTGTTTCAAAACGTGCATTTCCGTCAAAAAAAGTGGGAGGTTATTGTTTACTCAATTGCAATACCTCCCTTTACTAACATGAGGGTGGTAAAATGGGACCATTTTCGCACTTGAAATTTTGTCAGTTTTCATTGTGATCCATTATAATAATAATAATAATCATAATAATAGTGATGCTAAATCTCACAAATCGTACAGGGTTCGCTCAGGACATACATAATTGTTCATACAATTCAACTAAATTTCTAAATAAACAAAAACAATGTAAAAGTTAAACTAATTTTTGATTAACTAATTCACCTAGCTTAATTACGCGTATACCTCATTTTTTTCCTATATTGTATGATGTCATTACACAATTATCTTAAAATTGCGCATTTTAATATTAGATCATTACAAATAACTTTTCTGATTTTAAGGAACATGTTTTGTCAAATAACTATGACATTATCGGTGTTACCGAAACATGGCTATCACCACGTATATCCAGTAATCATGTAAGTATCCCAAACTACGCTTTCGAGAGGAGGGATCGAATAACAGGGACATGGGGTGGTGGCTTAGCAATTTATGTAAAACATAATTTACGTTACAAATTAATTAAAGCAAAGAGTTCTAGCACCAGTGCGGAACAAATTTGGATAAGGATGAATTTACATGGTAGAACACTGGTCATTGGCACGATGTACAGGAGGCAGGAGTATCCCATTACCGATTTCTTTGAAACTTTTGAGAATTGTGTAACTGATTATTTGTCATTCTCGAATGAGATCATCTTCCTTGGGGATTTCAATCTGGATGTAGGAAAAATTGATGATGCCATAACATGTAGGTTTATGTCACTAATTGATGTACTAGACTTTAAGCAATTAGTACAAGAACCGAACAGGGTAAGTAAATATTAACATCAACCGTTTTAGACCTTATTATTGTACCAGCAGTTATTAATGTAGAAATTGTAGGTGTGATTCCCATGCATTGTGTTTCTGATCACTGTCTCACCTACTGTGAATATCCTATGTGCTATAAGTCATCAAGCAACTTTTTATTCACTTACCGAGATATCAGGCTTTTTGACAATAATCAATTCGCACTGTCCCTGCAATCAGTTAATTGGGAATTTATTTACGAGTTAAACAATCCAAATGACATGGTGGCCTTTATAACAAATAATATCATACCTTGTTTAACACTTGGGCACCCATAAAAACGGTACGTATAACCAAAATAAAAGCTCCGTGTTTGACTGACACTATAACGCTTTAACGAGATACAAAAACAGTAAAAAAAATGGAGCATTGGAATTTTTACAAAACCATGCGTAATTATACCACATCAGCAATTAAAAAATAAAAAAGGGCTTACTTAGATTTCAAGGTAAAGCATGACATTAATCAAGTCTGGAAGCACCTTAGAACTTTAGACATTTATAACAATCGAAAAGCTGTAGGTATTCCAGCTCACCTTAATGATGCTGATATGATGAACACGTCCTTCGCTAATGTCAGTACTTTGGATTTTCAATCTGAAAATAAACTAGGGAAATTCTACAGTGAACACTTACGGAAGGTTTTTTCTAAGTCTTTCGTTTGCTGAAGTTGACGAACTCACTGTGCTGCGACATATTTCTAGAGTAAAATCTAAATCGGCAGGGTCAGATGGCATCACTATAAAAATGCTAAACTTGTGCTGTCCATATATTTTACCATACCTAACGTACTTAATAAATGTTTGCTTAAAGACTGGTACTTATCCTGATGACTGGAAACTTGCATATGTTACCCCACTACCAAAGATCAGTAAACCAAGCACCGTCAATGATTTGAGACCAATAAGTATTTTGCCGGTTTTGTCAAAAGTTTTGGAGAAAGTAATGTCTGAACAAATAAATGAGTTTTTAAAAGTTGAATCCATTTTACCAAATACCCAATCAGCTTTCAGGGTTGGATATAGTTGCACTACAGCATATATGTCACTAATGATATCATTTGTTCCGTCGATCAAGGCGCACTTTCAGCTTTAGTTTTGCTTGATGTTTCCAAAGCTTTCGACACGATAAACCACAAAATACTTATAAGCATCCTTAATATTACATTGGCTTCAATCCCAATGCGACTCGATTGGTCGAAAATTATCTCGAAGGTAGATTGCAACAGGTTGTACTAAGGGAGCATATCTAATCGGCTATTAGAATAACGTCGGGAGTACCTCAGGGATCAGTGTTGGAACCACTTTTGTTCTCTATATATACCAGTAATTTTCATCACAGTGGTCATCATGTCAAATTTCATCAATATACTGATGATGTTCAATTACAATTCAGTTTCTCTGCATCAGATTCTGTCAAGGCAATAAGCCATATAAACTCAGATATTAAACGTATAGTTCATACGTCTGAACTACATGGACTACGAATTAAACCCTTAAAATCGCCCTTCATTATTTTTGGTCCACGTAGAACCAGAACTGATCATATTAATAATTTAGCAATTAAAATAAAAGACATGGTTCTAGTACCAAAGCAGTGTGTAAAAAACTTGGGTTTGTGGATGGACTACGATTTACGCTTTAAACAGCACATAACCGCCATTAGTCCTAGGGCGTTTGGTAATTTAAAGTTAATTTTTAACAATCGGCAGTCTTTAAGCTATCATCTAAAGGTGCTATTGTGCGAGTCCTTTTTTATCTAATTTTAATTACTGCGACTCTGTGTATGGTCCTTGCCTTGACAGGAGTGATACTAATAGAATCCAAAAAATTCAAAATTCGTGCCTACGTTTAATTTTTGGTGTAAGAAAATATGAACGCATATCTCACAAGATAAACGAAGTCGGCTGGCTAAATATGGCAAACAGGAGATACCTGCACTCTGCCACTCTATTTCATAGCATTATTACCAATTATACGCCTAGGTATCTGTACGAGAAGATTCAATTTAGCTCTAACATTAGATTACATAAACTAATTACTCCACCTCTCCATCGAACCAAGTTTTTCAAACGATCGTATGTTTATAACGTTGCAAAAATATACAATCTTCTGCCTACTGATGTTAAAATGCTTGGGATCGTTTCATTTAAAACTAAATTATTTAAAATTACACTGGATCGACAAAACACGAGTCTTTAACTCATTTTTTTTTATATTAATGTAATGTTTGATTTCTCTTTGTACACATCCATCATTTATATCTGATTTCCTTATATTGATTTTTGGTTCATTTAGCGTAAGACATAATGTTTTTATTTTTTATTTCAATTTTAATTTTTTGTTTATTCATCAACCTACTATAATTATAATTTTCCACTATCGTTATCTTTAAGTAATGTAATCTAAAGGGGTTAAGTGGAAGAGCAGATGCGCGGTTTCTTTGTACCAAAGCATCTGAACTTCGCCTCATTAGATTAACGGGTAAACTTGTTAATTACATGGTTATAATAACCTAATTGTCACTCGTTATTCTAATAAAGACACATTATTACACATTACTATTAAGTTGTGGCTAGCAATAATTCATAATTTGTGGATAAATTAAAACTGTTGCTGTATTAAAACTATTAAGCAAAGAGTGAGGAAGTTAAAGGTAAAACTTGCGCGAAGGTTAAATTTGAAGCTGTTTCCGGAATAGCATCTCTTTGATTTTGACGTATAATTTTGTAAAGTATTTTTTGTTTTCACATAATTTATGTCATCTGGCACAATATACACTTTTCCATCAATATTAACAAACTCTTTGGGTACGTTATAGCTAAAAACCGTATTTGATCGTGTTTATTGCAAGACAGTCAGTCTTATCAGTTGTAAAGTTCTTGTTTACAGTAAAGCGGAAGCGTGTCTCACGTTTTATGAATATGTCA